AAAGGGCATGATAGTGTAATGGAAATTGCCAAGTGGTGTCTGGAACGCAGTTTTGTGGGCATCTCCTTTGGTCATCCGTATCTGATTGTAGCCGCTGTATCCATCCATGAAGGAAAAAAGTGAATGCCCAGTCGTTGCATCAACCAAAGTGTCAATGATAGGAAGAGGAAAATCATCCTTCGGGTACGCCTTGTTGAGATCGCGAAAATCAACGCAGATCCGGATTTGTTCATTCTTCTTCTTCACAGGAACAATATTTGCCAGCCAAGTTGGATGTAAGATTGGCCTAATAAATCCTGCCAGGAGTAAATTTTCTACCTCTGTCTTAATCTGAAGCTCGAGCTCAGGTTTATAGACGCGAGGTACTTGTTTGACAGGACGCGAGCCTGGGATGGTGCTGAGATGATGTGTCACGAGCTGGGGGTCAAGTCCTGGCATCTCGTTATAAGTCCATGCGAAGACGTCCGAGAATTCCTTCAAGAGGCAAATAAGGTCGTCGCGCAACGATGGGTCCAACTTCGAGGAGATGAAAGTTACCCGTAGTTCTAGTCTTGCAGGGGTGAGATTGACTTCCTCGAGATCCGGCATTTGCAGCGACTCTTCCTTCACATTCGTAGACTCATCAACAGGGCTCGCCAAGGCGGAGCCCGCACACCGTCATAAGCGATAGACATATCGCCCATCTGCCAGCCTCACCCGTTTGCACTCTCTCGGGGTAGCGGCTTCTGCACCATGACGAGGAACATACGGTTGTGGAGGGTAGAAAATGACTTGCTGTACCTCTTCCCACTTGGGTAGGGGAGTACGGATTATATACGCCTCTGCTTCCTCGTCCTCATCATCTAACTCATCGAAGAAAAGAACCTCAGTAAAGTGCGCCTCATGCTTGGCAAAAGGCTTACCAAAGCACGGAACCGTGACGACCTTGTTACCCAAGATGCCTTTGAAACATTGATGGTAGGTAGAAGCTACTATGCCGAAACAGTGCATCCACGCCCGCTTGAGGAGCACATGATAGGATGTATCAGCCTTGATGACGTGGAATTTGGTAGGAGCTCGAAATCTACTAACCGCGAGATCAACGTTTACATAGCCGAGAGTCTGGTGGGATTCATTGCCAAAACCATAGACCTCGATGGCTTCTTTGACAAGGCGATCTTGGGGCAAACCAGCTTTCTGAAAGGTAGCCCATGGCATGATGTTGATGGAAGACCCGTTATCGAGAAAAGCACGCCGGAATTCCCTACCATTGAGTTGCGCAGTGACATAGAGTGGACGATTCTGAGGGGTAGAGACCCTTTTGTCAGATTCAGAAAAAGAAATGGTCAACGGAGCCTGGCGAGAGAAGGGTTGACTCGACGAAGCGGCTGCACAGCACTCTTCCTCGCCGCATTGCGCTTGAACCTTCGATTGAATGGGGTTGGTTTCTTCCAACTCATCATAATACGTGACTACAGCTACACTGCGATAACGAGGGTATGGATTGCGCCGCACATCCTTTGGTGCGGTCAACTCGAGATCACCACCCTTGAGACGTTGTTGAAAAATTCGCCTGAGAGTCCTGCATGTACTTGTTGGATGTGAAGTGGCTCGGTGGAAGATATAGAAATTTGGACTCGCACGATCCTGCGCAGTCGGCTCTTTGTGAGGGACGGGTAGCACAACTACACCGTGCTTGACCCACTGTTCAATAGTACTGGCAACTTCCTCCATACATACCGGGAATGGGGGAGGCTCATTTGTTCGTTCAGCTCGAGATCCTTTGGCCCTAACATCTGTCTCGCGCCGCTTTTTGGCCCTGTCATTGTGAGGAGCAACCGGCGTGTCCTTGCGAGTGACCTGTCCTGCGATTTTTGCCTTGGGAGGTGCGAGATCTTTACAAATGTTCCACACGGCTATGGTGAGATCACTGAAGCTGTTGAGACCCAGATTGACCAAGTGTATCATGTAGGTCTTAGTCATGCCTTGTATGTAACTATTAACTAGATCCCTTTCACTGCTGCCCTCGAAGCATTCCCTCGCATGGGTCTGGAAATGAGAAATGAACTTGAGGGGCTCCTCGTGAGATTCTTGCATTTCTTTGGTGAGAGAGAGTGTGATGACCCTCTCGATGGCTTGACCAAACTTGTCGTGGAACTTCTGGGAAAGTTGTTGCCAAGTGGTGACCGAGTCTGGCTCGAGACTACGAAACCATCTGTACGCAAGTTCGGTAAGAGACTTGGAGAATTCTCGCAGGCGTAAGATGTCGTTATGGCTCTGCTGGCCTAGAGATTCCACGAATCTTTGCAAGTGCTCGTCCGCATCCCCTTTGACGCCATCATACTTGTGAAACTTTGGGATGATGTACCCCTATGGGTACGGTGTCTGAGCCAGGCTTTTTGGGTACGGAGGCTCTGTACGCAAAACTAACGCACGTGCAGTTGACGGGGCATGTTTCATGAAAAAATCACGTAGCATGGATTCAGTGACATATTCCGGGGAGGGGTTTGCCTGTGGAACTGGTTGAACTGGGGCTGGTTTTGGGGCTGCTTGAGCTTGCGTCGGCGGATACCATAGCAGTGGCACGTGAGTGGACGAACTGCCTGGCTGGTCATGCTCAGGAAGGGCCACTATAGTGGGAGAAGCAGTTCTGGCTCGTGCACTCTGCATGATCAAGGCTTCCAACCTATCAAGGCGGTCGTTAAGATCACGGTTGGACTGCAAAAGCTCCTCATGAACAGAGGGGGCCGCTGAACTTTCCGGCATCGTAACATGTGGTGCACGGGCATTGGAAGCATGTGACGGTGCCTGGGATTGAAAAGGAGCGCCACCGCCACCCCCAACAGAGGGCTCTGAATGGTGAGTCGGCATATCCTGTGATTTCATCTGCTTGCACTGATATCCCCAGTGAAGTCGCCAAAATGTAGGGGTTCTTTTTTGCTAAGTAATAAAATAGTAATAAAAAGAGATATCAGTAATACAAATACGAAGGAAAACAGAGGAGATGTTTAGTGTAGGAGGAGGAGAAGAAGACCAATTAACTAGATCCAGATGGTGGTAGGGCGAATGTACAATGTGACAGCTTTTCTTTAGTTCGGAGAGTTGTTTCTTTCTTCATAGGACAATGCTATTTATAGATCGAGATTCCATTGGTCATTACCCAATGGTCCTTTCTATGCATGGTTTCTCGCATGCATCACCCCCAATCCGGATTACGCGAGTAATCCTGCAGATTTAGAGGGTTGAAGGGTCTAATCCTTTCCTCGAGCCTTGTCTCATGTTCCCATGTCACTTCTCCCTTAATCAGGGGCATTAAATGTTGCTTGGCCGTCGGTTGGTCAAGTCTGACACAGCATTAATTGTGATTTTAAGGTTTGCTGTTATAACGTGTATAATCCTATCATCTTGTTAATTGGGCCTTGCTAAGAGCGAAGGCACTTCTTGACTTCTCATCCACCAATCCAAGATCCTCTTAAGTTTCCCAAATATAGACTTCTATAACACAGAGTTCCTACCTCATCTCGTGCTAAGAAGCTCTAATCTCTCAGGACGGTATCACCTGGCGTAACACCAGGATTCGGAATGCTCGAAGATCAGCCTCTCGAGGCTTACTGGGCCTGGGGCGATGCTAGGGCTTAGAGTGCTCGAGATTTGATCTTTCGAGGCTTGAGGGCCTGGAGCGATGCCAGGGCTTAGAGTGCTCGAGATTTGATCTTTCGAGACTTGAGGGCCTGGCGCGATGCCAGGGCTTAGGGTGCTCGAGATTTGATCTTTCGAGGCTTGGGAGCCTGGAGCGCTGCTAGGGCTTAAAGTGCTCGAGATTTGATCTTTCGAGGCTTGGGGGCCTGGCGCGATGCCAGGGCTTATGGTGCTCGAGATTTGATCTTTCGAGGCTTGGGGGCCTGGCGCGATGCCAGGGCTTAGGGTGCTCGAGATTTGATCTTTCGAGGCTTGGGGGCCTGGAGCGATGCCAGGGCTTAGAGTGCTCGCGATTTGATCTTTCGAGGCTTGAGTGCTTGGAGTGATGCCAGGGCTTAGCGTGCTCGAGATTTGATCTTTCGAGGCTTGAGTGGCTGGAGCAATGCCAGGTCTTAGAGTGCTCGAGATTTGATCTTTCGAGGCTTGAGGGTCTGAAGCGATACCAGGGTTTAAAGTGCTAGATCTTTCGAGGCTTTTGACTTTTCAACTTGCCCTGGAGGATTTAGCCAGGGTTGTATTGACTTGTCAACGTGCCACATCAGTGTCTGATAAGTGACACCCATAAAACTCATCTTCACCCTCTTCAGAAAAAGGTATGAACTTCTTCCCCTATCTAGATTTTATTTTTTAAAAAAAAATAAATAAAAAAAAAAAAATTCATTACACAATACCTTAGGACTTTGTTGTTGAGGTCAAGAATTTCGTCTCTATATCTATATGTGCATGTTTATTTATGCGCGCGCGCACACATATATGTATATATTTACGTTTTTCTTTTTTTCAGATTTCAGCCAGAAATGATTTACTAATTAAATATTTTATTTTTCTTGATTTAATTCATTGATAGGTGGTGTTTCAATTTAGATCTTGAACGGGGTTTGTGTTTTTGCTAGAATATGATATTTTATTGTTGTTTGATTTTGGAAGAAAAAGAGAATTGTTTCTGCTTATTAATTAAACAGTAAGGTTTTTCTTGTTGGTATCTTCAGCATTGTTTCAAATGTCTCCTCTTAATTCATTCGCTTCAAGATCTGAAGTTGTAAGTAAATGAGCTTCTAACATTTCAATAAAAATATTCTATTTTGTGGTCTCAGTACCGTACTAGTCTGGTTCCTTGGTTTTTTTTATTTTATTTTATTTTATTTTATTAACCTTCATCCTACATCCCCTTTTATCGTTTACCAATTGTTTGATGAAATGCCTCACTAGAAAACCTTTTAAGTGCTACCATTTTATGTTTAAGAATGGCCAAAATGCGCCCAATGCCTGTGCTAGTCAATCAGTGATTTACTAATAATGATTTATCACAATCAACCAACCTATATTCAATTATTAAATGCTTCATTAACTTACCTGTGTATCTCTACATCCCCATACTTTGTAAATACAATCAAACAAGAAGAATGAAAAAGAAGAAATTAAAACAAGAATGATAAGCCTAAGCCAATGATACTGCCATTGGACTTCTAACAAAGTGGATTCCATCAGTCCAAGCATATGACCCGAATGCATACTGATCATTGTCAATCTTGCTGGCCTTCTCAGTTTCTGCCGTTACGGTTATGGTGAAGCTCTTCTTTTGGCCAACATGTTCAAAGAATAAGATAGGTGGAGAGATCTTAACGGAAAATCCAATAGGTGGTTTGACACTAGAGACGTACAAACTCTTGCCATCACCACCAACATTTGTGACAGTTCTCTTGACAGTCACTGTGCCATTGAATTTGGAAATTGCAAGAGATGGGTAGTTGAGATTGTTCGGTGTGGGTGACACTTTTGGACACTTAAATGATGGGTCAAGCTTTGTTACTCCTTGGCTGCAAAGGAACAGAAGATAGTCAATGTATGAGGCATCGTACACAAGTCCTGGATCTACTGCCTTTGTTGGCCTCAAGTGACCTGATCCGTATTGGAAGGGATCTGCGGGGCTACCATATGCATCAGTAATTGGCATACCAACATTGTTCCTTATTCGCGCTGCAAGATCAAAATGTGCAACATTAATGAAAAATTCATAGGTCATGGTTGGTAGTTAGCATGCGGAAGACAAGTATTAGAGCTAGAAGCTGATTAAAAAGATACCCTATATAGATTCATAAGAGTACCTGAGGTGATAAGAGCAGATCTTATGGCTGCACTGCTCCAATGGGGGTGTATAGCTTTGAGAAGTGCAGCTGCAGCTGACACATGAGGGCAAGACATAGAAGTTCCTGAAAGAATGTTATACTTAACGACTCGGTGATCCTCCTCCAACCTTGTAGGGGGTGCTGCTTCACTCCATGCCGCCAGTATATTTAGTCCTGGTGCTGTGATATCAGGCTGCCAAGCAAGCCAGGAATTAGAAATTTGAGACGCGATATGAATGACAAATTCAAAGCCTTTGCTGTTAATTGAAAAAACATCCATAGTAGTAATTGTTGTTTTGATTACTGCTTGTGCATTTGGTGCTGCTAATTACCTTGAGAATATCAGGTGTAATTGTATTTGGTCCCCTACTAGTGAAGGCAGCCATGAATGGTGCTGGTGTCTCATGTAGGACAGTCCTAGCTGGGAAGATATATGCCAATGGTTTGTCAGTAGAATTGATGTATTCCAAAATCCTATTTGCACTGCTACCATCCACTGCAGTTGAAGGAAGAACATGAGCGTCTAAGGCTAACTCAGCTCCATTTGCAACACCATTTGCTAAGATGAATCCAGCACCCCCAGCTCTTTTCACCTCCTCGCCTTTTCCAACTCGGGTCCCATTCCCTCTAAAGCACATTACAATCTTTCCTCTGGTCTTTTCAGGTGATAGAGAACCAGGAAGGCATTGCCTGCAAAAATTTGAAGTTCAAGTTCAAGTCATCATCCAAATGCCATCACAATATTCCCCAAAACGAGCATTGAAATGGCAAAAAAGAAAGCCTACTGTGCTGTATCATTTTTGGGCACTTCAGGGTTGACTACTGCTGATGCCAATACTAGTGGGTACATTTTCTTCTTCAGCCTGTATGCAGTTACTGCTTGTCCCTAAAAATTGATCAGAGGAACAAATTGAATTGAAACAAGAAAAGGGGTGAGAAGACATCAAAATGAAGTATCATAATTTTGTTGATATTTACCCGAATAGTCAAGCCATTTCCAAACACAACAGGTGCTGCAAATGCCCTGTCCAAACTACTAGCAGCAACTGTGATGATCCAGGGAGCCGTGTTAGATAAAGTTTCCGGGTCAGGGCCATCGTTCCCGGCACTGCATGACACTAGGACATTCTTCTTTGTGGCGTGAAGTGATCCGATTGCAATAGGATCCTCGGTGTAAGGAGTATGGTGGTTATACTGCCCAGCGGAAATGCTTAGTATATGAACTCCATCACCAATGGCATCATCAATAGCTGCTAGGATGTCTTCATCAAAGTATGTGTTCCCATTTACTTTGCTTACACCTGGAATTGCCCAGAAAGCTTTGTATATCGCGAGGCGCACTAGTGGTGCACCACCGGAGGCAGTGCCACCCGCAAATCCACCTAGGGCCGAGACATTAGACACCCGTCTTCCTCCAACAGTTGAAGATGTGTGTGTCCCATGGCCATCCCTGTCTCGTGGAGATAGGTAATCCAATGTGTTATTTAGAGGGCCAAAGTGATGTTCGTAACCTTTAATGTAGTATCTAGCTCCAATTATCTTCCTGAAAAATTGGCAACAGAACTGATCAATTTCTATCTTTATATTGTATCTTTTATGCATCTGTTTCAGTGTAAACTATAGAAGTTTGCATGTACTGCAATTCAAAGAAAATAATAGATGTGCTGACTGAATCAATTTCCTTGATTATGCTGTCTATTTATTATGCACTTGATCAATAGAATGGTTGTTCATCTATAAAAAAGTGTTACCGGCCCTAGTTCACGAGATTCTCATCGTTGTGAAGTTTGGAGAGGATTATATGTCATCTTACTTTTGACATAATTAATCACAATTTTTTTTCAAAAAGATACAATCAAGAACATGTATATGGCCTATACAGTTGATAATATATGTAGTAGTCCATAAAACATTTAGTTACTTCCAAAATCTTCATATAGACTTGTCAGAGATTGAGACTGATAACAAAATCATAGACCATACATACATCAACAAATTCAAATACACTGAGCATTGGAGTGATAGAAGTTCACGAGGGGGTAATAGAAAATTCCAAAACCAATAACCATAGGCCATATTATTTTCTTGTTTTGATTGAAACAGACAAGCTTGGAATCATCCCATGCAACTAAGAGGTATCTATAAAACCATATAATGTAGGACAAAAATTTGAAAAATTATTATCCTTTTTTATGGGTCATATGCAAAGAAATTTGGTCACGGGTATCTGTAAATACAAATTTTTGAAAATACCAAATTTTTGAAAAATTATTATCTTTTTTTGGTCACGGGTATCTGTAAAATTGTTCATTTCAAGAATGGGAAACAGGCATAGAAACAAGAAAGCAAATTACAATGTCACGAAAAAGAAGAAAAGTAATATAAACTCACCTATTACAATGTGATGAGTTAAAAGCAGTTCCACTCTGGCAGGTTCCTTTCCATGATTTTGGAATGGGACCCATTCCTTCATCACTGAAACTCTTAGATTCCGGCCACACCCCTGATCATCATCATCATCATCATCAATACAGTCACTCATCAATTGCAATAACCTGATATTCACTCCCAACATCTGAATCCAAACGCCCAGAGAGGGATTGTGGATCCCACCTTTGAAAGGTGGTCACAATTCCCTTAATTCTTTAAAGAATGTATGGTCACTCAATATTAGTTTGTCGAGAGCAATTTTTTTTATTATTGAATGATGCATGTTCATTGAGTATATCTACTAGAGCCTTGTAAGAAAAAAGAGAAATATAAAATTATATGTATGTATTACCAGTATCTATGACGCCAACTATGATGTCTTTGCCATATCTAGCTTTCAATAATATGTCGTCCTCGTTGTTGTTCATTTGTTTTCCCTCTTCTAAGCCAACAAATTCCCATGACCTTGTAGTATGCAAAGAGTTCATTCTAGGGTAGCTTCTATACACAGACACCACTTCATCCATTTCTGTTAATCACAAATATATATTCTTCACAATGAGATATATAATCCGAGGAAAAAGTAATCCTTGTAATAGTAATTTGTTAGAGTACGTACCGGATAGTTTTGAGGCTTCATCTGCATTAAGCACTGCCGCGAAGCCATTGATACTGTTCTTGTAACTGTATATAAGAGAAGCCTTGGCTTCTTCCTCAGATTCTTTCACAGAGGAGAGGTAGGAGTGATGGGTATCTTCAATTTCTTGGAATGTTTTCTCTCCACTGTGATGTCCGAAGTATACAATATAGACCTGTAAAATAACGATACAAGTTAATTTGTGTGAGGGATGAAATTATAGCAATAGATACACCAACCTACATAAAATGTACGTGTGTATATAATATATGTATATTGGCAGATTTCAGATATAATTAAGAAAAGTAGATACCTGTTTTTCAACACACGAGGCCAAGAGAGGAATAAGAAGAAGAAGTAGGGAGAAAAGCGAAGCTTTCATCATAGCTAATGCCACGAACTTTGTTGATATGACATGATGGGTGGTCTACAGGTTATATATATATTATATATATAGAATCTTTGGGTGAGAGTATTAATCATTTTTGACTCGATAGAGGCTTTTTGTAATTTCACTTTTGGCTGAATTTTTGTGGACCAGAACAGCACGCCGTGTCACTATACTATGTGACATCCTCAAGTCTTTAAACTAAAAAGTAAGGGCATTTATTATCCAGTTCATGCGACATCCGATTTTACAATTGCAGAAACACCGTATTATTATTATTATTATTATTTTATTTTTGGTAAGCTAAGTAAGTGTTATAGATAAAAAGAGTAATATTATGATACCAGAATCAGTTTTTTGTCCAACAATAATTAATAAGATTATCTCTCTTGTTATAGTATTTCAATCAATATTTGATATCTTTAAAAGAAAAAAAAAACTGTATAATCGAATTTTTCTAAAGAGAGCAGCAAGGATACTACTGAGCCAGATTACATGAATTTGGTTCAGATAGGCTGTATTATTATTAAAAATAATGAATCTCTGATGAGAACTAATTATATAAAAACAATAATATCATCTTCTTATAAGCTGGACATTCGGAATACAAACCCTTTTTATCATAAAAACAAGCTAGATGGATATTTTCTCAATAATGCTATATTTATTCAAATTCATGTGAGTTGTGACAGATAAACTTTCTTTAATTATGAAGATCATACCGAAAGGAATTTACTTTTATTTATTTATTTATTTATTTTTTTGATACAGATTTCACCTCTGGTCAAAGTCTATGTTGATAAATTATGTTATAATTGAATTTATAGTGGTAGACTTTGATCAAATGATGTCATAGGTTTGCAAAGTTTAGGAGACTGATTTAGCTGGAGATGATCCAAATTCCTTTTAACATTGTTCTAAATTTTTTTTTCAAGAAGTCTATTGTTGCTTAATTCATTTGGAGATAATTAGATGAAATGACATGTAATGGTAAAGATGGAAAATTGTTGCTTATTTCATGTGCTCAATTTGACACCAAAAGGAACTTCTTGAATCAAATGAAAACTTTTATTTCGGCAAAAACAAAAAAAAATCTTTCACAATGGATGAAGAGCTGTAAGATATTATTTTCACTTGTTACTGTATATGATTTTTTTAAAAAAAATTATATGAAGTTTATGAAATAATGATTAATGACCATGAACCCTTGACATAATTAAAAACCCCTTGATGAATAATGTGGAAATAGAGAGTGTATTTGGGAATTAAGATTTGATAGAAGTTCACCTTTCTTATCTGGATAGTAAAATTTATCTATTAATATTTAGCATATAATTTCAAATCAAGGCTTATTAGCAAGTAATTGCATTTAAAGATAGTTAAAACCTAGTCTAGGTGTAGTCGGAATATAAAAATGCAACACAACTATCAAGTTTCAACTAAATCAAATTTAATAATCTCTATATCCATAGAGTATCACTCTATATGAATGCGTGTATTCATTTCTGTTCAATCATTCTATCAAAATAAAACATAAATTTGAGAAATTATATTTAAAATTCACATAAATATATGTTGAATGAAAAAGTTGGAAATGTTATCAATACTACCGAGCTCCAACCCTTCACTTCTCTTTTGAGGATGAAAAATTATACCATTAGTCTAATGGAATATTTAGTAAGACCAGTCGCATGTTTGAATGGATTGACATAAGATACAATTCACTGTAAAATAATTTCAAGGCCAGAATGAGCTTGGCCATTTAATAGAATAAGGATAAAAGGTTTTTCGGTTGGCAAAGGTAGGTTTCTTGCAATTTTTGATGTAATAAATAGTTTTAGCCCACCAAGTTTTTTATTTTTTCCTTGGAAAGTTCAAGCAATATTATTGTTGGCACCAAAACTTGGCAGCCATTTCAGCAGTGACGTGGACCAGTGAGGAGCTGACAAGTGTGCAATATGATTCCAAGAAAAGACGGCCAATTGAGAAACAAAAGGAGAAAATCTAGGAATTCAGCCACCTTATCCAATAAGGTTGTTGCTGAATATATTTACAAATATTGAAATCAATTCAAATATGGTTATGAAAAAGGAAAGACTTAGAGATATAACTAAATCCCTATGAAGCAGGAATTTTAGTTGAAGAAGGAAAAGGAAGGCAAAAGAAGACGGCAGCCGTGATTCAATAATGGGTTTAAAGGGAAATATTATGGCTGTCAGAATATGGAAGTTGCTAAAAATTAGCAAACTTTATACTTCCACCGTCCTAATATAAGTGTCACTTATGGGGAGTAGTAATTTTTAAGGGGACATGTGGGACCTTGTATTGTCTGCCTGAAAAATTACTATATTGCCCTTTTAAGTTTTAAATATTGAAGTTTGAAATTTAAACTCAAAGGACATTTTTGGATTGATGTGAAATATATTGTTTGAAAAAGGAAAGTGGACATTTATTTTGGGACGAACAAAAAAAGAAAGTATGACACTTATTTTGGGACGGATGGAGTAGTAATAAGAGCCGACCAAATCGCAGGACTTATAGATAAATTCAAAAGTTGTAAATGGCTCTAGGCCATTTAAAGAAGATACGCTAGCCGAGTTGCTAAAAATTAGCAACTTTTTTAGCAACTGTTTAGTAAACTTACATGTGACTAAATCAAGGAAGTTGGTTTCAGCAAGGATTTCATACTAAGGCAAGTCGTGAAGAGAAGCTATAATGGGTTGTGACCTAATTTGAATAACAAAGTGAAGAAAATCAAGGGAATAAGAGATTTTCTAGCAAGAAGTTAGGAAAATAAGTTGAGAAAGAATTCTATAAATAGGAAAGATGTAATCCTATTCCAATTGTCCTACACCAACCACAAAATATGCATTTCAACTAAAAATGTTTTCAATTGACTCTACGTCATTTTCTATCCATTTATTTATGACAATTTTCATTCAAAGAATTTAAGTTCCAGTAGCTTACTCTTCTTTTGCAATGTTTTAAATATGCTTTTTATATTATCAGTCATTTTTGTTCAAGCAAACGGATTCAATGCCTAATCTTTGATAAGATTCGAATCTTTGATAAGATTCGTGTCATGTTAATTCGGCCAGTTTATTTCTTTCTTTTACTTTCCATGCAATTTCCATTCTGCCTGTTTTAATTATGCACCTTTCAATTAAAAATGTTTTCAATTCAATGGCAATTGATTAAATTCTTGTCATTTTCTTTACTAGCAATTGATTAAATTCTTGCCACTGCATTTTGGTTTGCTTCATTTTAATTATACACATTTCAATTCAAATTGTTTTCAATTCAATGGCAATCGATTGAATTCTTGCCATCCATTGGCTTTTTCATTTAAAGTCAATTTCCATTCAGCCTGTTCATTCCAATTTCTTTAGTCATTGCATTTTTATTTTCTTTTAACACTTAGATAAAAAGTTCTTGTTGTAAACAAGGCATAAAAGAATCTTGTTGGGAGTTCTTACTAGTCTCTCTCCCATACAACGCCTGACAGTCAACCATCGAAAAAACCTTGCTGGGAGTTCTTACTAGTCTCTCCTCCACACAATCGCTTGACAGTCAGCCATCGAAAAAAAGGATAGGCTGTTGTTGGAATAACATATTTTAAGTATTTTTATACAAATACTCTGACACACCCGCGAAGAGTCTATCGACCAGCATAAAACCACGCGGACAATTATATAGGTAAAATGTACATAGTAACGGGCTTGACAAAAATGAAGAAGCCCAGAAACAAAAGAAAGAGATTGAAGAAACATAAAAGACAGAAAGGGGCCCAATGGCATTATCAAATAGTAGCTGTTATAACGGTTATTGTCGATTCCGGTGAGATTGCACAAGCAGAGCACCATAAACATGTGATTAGGGCTCTGTATCATCCTGATCAGGCGGACGTGGCGGTGGTCGGAGGCACGTAGTGTAATGTTTGTGTATTTATGTGCATAGGTGTATATATAATATGTGTATTATGTTGTGTTATGGCTCAAATTTAAGCAAAAAGTTAAAGGAAAAAGAAAATAAAAGGTGGTGGGACCTACCATTAAACCAACTAAGGCCCAAGAGACCACAAATGGTCTCATTTTTCTCATTCTCTCCCGTGCGCCTCTCTCTTCCCCTCTTCCTCTCTGTTTTTCTTTTCATTTTGATTTCCAAAACTTTGAAGCAAGATCTTGATCTCATTTCTTATCGAAATTGAGTGTCGTTTGAGGCAAAACGAAGCTCGTGTCAAGCTCTACACATCCATACAAGCGATTTCAGATTTAGTGCACTCCTTGGAGTTCGAATCTTAGGACCCATTTCTAGGGTTTGTGAAGAAAATTGGGGTTTTTGCTCAATTAGAGGTAAATGTGTCTAATTCATACTTTTCTTGTACCTTAGTGAGTTATTCCTCTAGAATTTTGGCCAAACATGCTTGATTTAAGGTTGATTGTTTTAAAAATGATTTAATGGTGCATATAAAGATTTTATATATGTGTGTTTGTTGACTTATGTGATAAGCATGCTTAGTTTAGATGGATTACTCCTTAAATGATTTAATTGTGTATGTGAAATATGTATCTATGTGTATTTGTTGGATTGTATGGAAATTGTGATAAATGGTTGATTTATTATGCTTATTATAATGCTAAATATTTAGTTGATTGTTGTGAGCATGTGTGGTAAATTGTGGTATTAAATTCCCCATTTTATGATATTGTCACGGCATGACAAATGTTAGAAATCCCTTATATTACAACATTGAAAGTATGTGGCATTCATGAATTCATCATTGGGGATTGCACGTATGGAAATGACTTTTGAAAAATGAAAGAATGGGGATTTTCGGGAAAGCTTTGTTGGAAAAGTTTTTTTTTTGAGAAACCCGGTCGCCGCGGGGGTACCAAAGGGCCAGAGGTTAATATAGCCTAGAGGGGACTAGAGAGTCGCCCTAGCGTGGTTGAGCTAACTGGGCCCCATAATGACGCCGCGGGGTTACCAAGGGTCAGGGACACTAGCCAATCCTCCTCTCGTGTCGCTGCGGGGTCACCAAAGGGCGGGTTATATTAACAGTTTGAAAAGTATGGTTGTTTTCTGAGAAATGGGGAGTGACACGCATATCATAGCATTCATGGCATTTTACATATGATTGTTTGGAATTGGAATTTAATATGTGTTTCCCTTATTTTGCATGACCCCTCTTCCTATTGGCCTATGCTTTGTTTGGATTCACGGGGTTACAAGAAGTGCGTCTTAGGCACTCTCTACTGAGTTTTATGCTCACCCTATTTTATTTAACATTTTCCAGGAACCGGTAAGGAGGTAGTGGATGCCGATCTTCCACAAGCTTAAGGATGACTTGGAGCTCATTTTGTATCTTTTGTATATCTCCCATTTTTGTAAGGCCCCAAAAGTGTAGTAATATGTATTTATTTTTTCAAAACCATGGTTAGGTAATATAATTATGTTACTAGATGATATTTTGGATGTGAGTTTGATATCATGTAAACCTTATTGATGCATGGGGAGAGTAATACTAGTTTGAGGTATTATCGAGGTCATTTGATTATGTATTATCATCTACTATTGCCGTGAATTTGGAATTTGAGCCGTGACAGGTTAAAAATGCAATTAAACAGGTTGTGATAGGCCTATTTTTAGGGGAGGTTATGCTGAATTTTTTTTTGTTTAAAAAGTATTAGTTTTGAGACGTTACAAATTTGGTATCAGAACCATGGTTCGAATACCATTAGGACGACGAGTAGAGGCTTACCTAGGGTTGTCGGGGAAGTCATTTGCATTGTTATTTGCTTGTTTGGAAAAGTGTTTTGCTATGTGAAAACGCATGCTTAACTACTTACTTGTTTACGTGCTTATATGCGTATATTAATGTGTTCATTGCATAGTATTACATGCTAAATGTTTGTGCAGTATGTTTTTGCGTTGGGTTGTTCACGGTTGGACCTTAGTGTTATCGGTATTGAATTGTTTCCTCTGTTTTATAGAACGATGTCACGGCATGAGGAAATCAGGGAAGTTGACCCTAGACCGACTAGGGGTGATGTTGGTGAGAGCTCCAGCTCCAATTCGGAGGAGCTAAATGATGAGGACACACTTCTTAGGGACTTGATTCCCCCGAGAGCTGTCCCCACAAGGAGGGATAATGTTGAAGCACCCGTAGAAGTGGGTGAAGGTTCTGTGGCAATGGAGTTTAATCGTTTATTACAAAATGTCGTGAGAGCAACTATTGTTGCTCAGCCGCAGTTGGTACCACAACCTACAGTTCAAGTTGAGGAGACTCCAGCTCAGAAGCGTCTCAAGATCATTAAGGGGTTTTCTCAGCTGATGCCGGTTATGTTTGAGGGCGGTGCGGATCCAATGATAGCAGATGACTACATGGAGCAAGTTGAAACTCAATTGACTTCTATGGATGTGACAGAGGATCATTTGAAGATCATCCTAGCTACTTATAATTTTGCTAAGGATGCTAAATTATGGTGGAAGTCGGTTACAAGCCGATACAAGATTGAAGAGATGAGCTGGGATAAGTTCAAGGAACTGTTTTATGAGAAGTACTTTCCGCTTTCCAAAAGATGGGAGTTACAAGACCAGTTTCATAATCTTATTTAAGGGAACATGTCAGTGACGGAGTATGAGAACAAGTTCACCTCACTCTCCCGTTTTGCTCCAGAAGTGGTGAGAGATGAAGCTAACAAGACTCGGAAGTTTGTCTCGGGTCTTAATGATCGAATGAGGCCGTTGATCACGGCACAGTTTATTAAGGTTTACTCTGAAGCAGTGGAAAGGGCTTTGATGCTGGAGGCTGACAATAGAGAGAAGGATGCAAGAAGAGAGCAATTGAAGCAAAAGAGGGGTGCAGGGCCATCCTCAGAAGGATCTTCTTGGAAAAGGAACAGGGGCGGTCCATCTCAGTTTCAGGGACAGCAGTCTGCACGATCTGCTCCTACCACTCCGTTGCCAGCTGGGTCTGATAGAAGTGCAGTTGTTTGCTTTCAATATCATCAGCCCGGGCATTACAAATCCAGTTGTCCTATGAGATTGACTTCAGTTTCTTCAGCTCCGAAGGCTTGTTATGGGTGTGGCCAGCAGGGCTATTTGATTCGGGACTGTCCGAGTCAGGGAGCAGGCACCACTAGTGGTAGAGGGTCACGGCAAAGGCCATTACAGTCGGCTACGGTTCAATCAGGTTTCAGACCACCGCCGCCACCACAGCCTGCCTTATCTTCACAGGGTTCACGGTCAGTTAGGAGGGATACTCCTACTATGTCAGTGCAGTAATCAGGTGTTCAGGTTGGCAGTCCTCAGGCACAGGTACCACAGGGACGTGTTTTTGCACTGGCACAGACCGATGCATCTTCTGGACCGTCAGTTCTTAGAGGTATATTTTCAGTGTTTGGTTGTTGGGCCCGTGTTTTGTTTGACTCTGGTGCATCTCATTCTTTCATTTCATCATCATTTGCATTTGTATCGGGGTTAGAGGTTAGTTTCATGGATCGGGCGTTATGTGTTGATACGCTAGTTGGGGTTTCAGTGTCATTGAGCCGAGTTGTACGGGATTGCTCCATTGTGATAGTCGGGCGGACCTTTGTGTTTAACCTTATCCTCCTGGAGATGACTAGCTTTGATGTCATTCTCGGGATGGATTGGTTGGCTTCATTTCATGCCACGATCGACTGTTACAAAGGGAGAATTACAGTTTGCACTCCAGAAGGAGACTGTTTCTTTTTCATGGGAGATCGGAGTGATTCCCACATTTCATCGTTTTATGGAGTTCGTGGACGAAGTCATGGTGATTACTTCTTGGCTAGCCTTATAGCCGAAGAAGATGATGTTGGGAAAGAGGATTATCCTGCGGTTGTTTGTGATTTTCTGGACGTGTTTCCGGAGGATTTGACAGAGTTGCCTCTACACCGAGGAGTGGAGTTCTCTATTGATTTGATGCATGATACTGCGCCGATTTCTATGGCACCGTATCGTATGGCACTAGTTGAATTGGAAGAATTGAAGAGGCAGCTTGATGATTTGAGGATAAAAGGTTTCATCCGACCGAGTGTGTCACCGTGGGGCACACCGGTCTTGTTTGCTAAGAAGAAAGATGGTTCTTTGAGGTTGTGCATCGATTATCGGAAGTTGATCGCGCCACCATCAAGAACAAGTATCCTTTGCCAAGGATAGATGATTTATTTGATCAGTTGAGGGGAGCCAATTGTTTCTCCAAGATTGACTTGAGGTCTGGTTATTATCAGTTGCGGGTTAGGGATGAGGATATCCCGAAGACAGCATTCTGTACACGGTATGGACACTATGAGTTCTTTGTTATGTCTTTTGGCTTGACTAATGCGCCAGCGGCATTCATGGACTTGATGAACCGCGTCTTTCACGATTACTTGGACCAGTTTGTGGTAGTTTTCGTGGATGACATTCTTGTGTACTCACGGACTCGGGAAGATCACGAGATCTATTTAAGTATTGTTTTACAGATTTTGCGGGAGCACCGGTTGTATGCCAAATATGAGAAATGTGAGTTTTGGCTACAAGAGGTGAAGTTTTTGGGACATGTTGTTTCAGAAGGCGGAGTGTCAGTTGATCCATCAAAGATTGAAGCTGTTTTGAATTGGGAGCGACCCAAGAATGTGTTTGAGATCCGTAGTTTTCTTGGTCTAACGGGTTACTACCGGAGATTTGTAAAAGATTTCTCCCGTTTGGCAGCGTCTATGACCCGTTTAACCCGGAAAGGGATTAAGTTTGTCTGAAATGAGGCCTGTGATTCATCTTTTCAGGAGTTAAAGACGAGATTGACTACAGCGCCAGTGTTGGTGATACATGAGCGTGGCTTGGGTTATGTGATCTATTGTGATGCTTCACGTGATAGTTTGGGGTGTGTGTTGATGCAGGATGGTAGAGTAGTGGCTTATGAGTCTCGACAGTTGAAGACTCACGAGCTTAACTACCCTACTCATAATCTGGAGTTAGCGGCAGTTGTGTTTGCCTTGAAGTATTGGAGACATTATTTGTATGGTGAGAGATTCGAGGTATTTTCATATCACAAAAGTCTCAAGTACCTTTTCTCCCAAAAGGACTTGAACAACAGACAGAGGCGATGGATCGAATTCTTGGAGGACTACAATTTTGACTTGCAGTATCATCCGGGCAAGGCGAATGTGGTAGCGGATGCCTTAAGCCGGAAATCTCGTGGAACTTTGGCCAGTTTAGCTATTCGGAAGTGGAAGATGCTTGAAGACCTGGCAGAGATGGGATTATAGTGTTTTGATGATGATGGTTGCAGTGAGTCGGCATTCTTATTTAGTCTTGTGGCTCAGCCTACTCTTATTGTACGAGTGATTGAGTCACAGAGACAGGACCCGGACTTAGATGCCATCCACGCTTTGATCTCTAGTGGTGAGACAGTGAAAGATTGGGCCTTGCATGCAGATGGGGGTCTACGGTTCAGGGGTTTGTTAGTGGTTCCTACGGTTTGTCGTGAGGACGTTTTACGGGATTTTTATACTTTCGGTTTTGCAGTTCATCCAGGTGGTACCAAGATGTATCACAATTTAAGACGTCAGTATTGGTGGAACGGGATGAAGAAAGAGGTTGCACAGTTTGTGACTAGATGCCTTACCTGTCAGCAGGTGAAGGCCGAGCATCAGAGGCCAGCAGGTTTGTTGCAACCATTACCTGTAGCGCAATGGAAATGGGAGCATATTGCTATGGATTTTGTGACAGGTTTTCCAAGGTCAAGAAGGGGCAATGAGGCCGTATGGGTCATTATTGACAGATTGACCAAGACGGCTCACTTTTTGCCTATTAAGGCAACAGATGATGCAGAGAAGCTTGGTGTTCTTTATGTGAAGGAGATTGTAAGGTTGCATGGAGTTCCTGTAACCATTGTGTCAGATAGGGATGCTAAGTTCACTTCGAAGTTCTGGGAAGGACTTCAAGCAGCGTTTGGTTCAGCGTTGCATCTTAGTACGGCATTCTATCCACAGACGGACGGTCAGTCGGAGCGTACTATCCAGATTTTGGAGGATATGCTTCGGGCATGTGTGCTTGACTTGGGTGGTAGTTGGGAGGATCACCTTCTACTTATTGAGTGTGCCTACAACAACAGTTATCAAGCGAGTATCCAGATGGCTCCATTTGAGGCGTTGTATGGTAGACCTTGTAGGTCTCCTGTTTGTTGGGCTGAGGTAGGTGAGACAGCCGCCTTAGGACCCGACATTGTACTCGAGACTACTGAGAAGATTAAGTTGATAAGACAGAGGTTACTTACAGCTCAGAGCCGACAGAAGAGTTATGCCGATAAGCGGAGACGACCGTTATCCTTTGAGGTGGGAGACCACGTTTTTCTACGGGTTTCTCCACGGCAGGGATTGATGAGATTCGAAAAAAGTGGCAAGTTGTCACCACGATTTATTGGACCGTTTGAGATTTTAGATCGGGTAGGAGAGGTTGCCTACAGACTTGCTTTACCACCACAGTTGGATAGGGTCCACAATGTTTTCCATGTATCGATGTTACGGAAGTACGAGCCGGATCC